CATTTCAGCACTGGTGTTTGGAAAGTTGTTTTAAAAACTATCCTATTTATATTTATTCCCCTTCATCACTCGGGACTGATGGTAAACTATATGTTTTTTATACATAAAAAAAATTTAAATTTCAACTTACAATTTGCAAATTAAGTGTTTCTTTTTAGTTCCTTGTATTTATGATTGAAATAAAAAAGAAGTTGATGTTTCGCATTTTTTTTTTCTTCAAAAAAATTCGTAAGGGAAGCGGTTAAAAAAATAATAAGCCAGTGGATGTTGTTTTCGGATAATAATCCCGATGAAACGTTTTTCCCTCAAAAAGTTAAAATGAGGCAGGTGTACTTGTTTGAAAATTTAGTTTGAATGAGTTTTTATTTGAAAAAAGTTAGTAAAATCGGATTAAGTAGAGAGAGAGAGAGAAACCACCTATTTTGGCATCTATCACGGGTCGGTTTTTTGAAGTATCCTTTTCAATGCTCTACTGTCAAGTCTTCAAGTGTCTCTGGGGGTGAGTTTAATATGATTATCGGTAAGTGAAACTCTATTTTCAAAATGGCCACTTCAGGGTATCGGTTGCTTTTTTAAGCCCTCGCGCAGGGGGAGTGACAGCTGGGTTGTCATTTTAAATGAATACTCTAAATACTGGAGGAGTCACTACAACTGGTGGTTTTGTTTTATAAACCAATTTAATTTTTTAATCTGCTTAAACCCATGATGTGGTGGCAATATTCTACTTATTGGCTTTTATTTTAAAAATCTTCTGAATCCATGATACACATTGAAATACGGCAAATAAATATTATTGCCGTTGATTGTTGCAGAAATAAAAACAACTCTTGGCAAAGTATTCATTGTATTAATAATATATAGCAAACTATACTATATAGTAGGGGAGAGTGGGGTCAATTGTAACATTTTTTACTTAACTATTTTTAACTAACAAAAAATCCAATATATTATTAGTATTAATTGACAGACGAGTAAAGTAGACTATCCTCTACTAGAAAAAAAAATAAATACCTGATTTTAAATATTATTATATTAGTTATTAACAATTTTTGACAGTCGTGCAGTTGTTACAATTGTCCCCACTTACGGGGTCAATTGTAACAGTTCATAAATTCAACTAAAACATAGTTAATTATACATA